GGCAGCAACAATGGGTTCAAACATAAGAACAATTGTAAGGATGGTTGAGTCTGAACCTGCGCAAAGGCCCCTAACTAAAACAAAAAAAGAACATGCCAAATGTAAGAGTCTACTTAGACAGCATGCTTGAGAAATGGAAATCCAATGGTATATACAAATACATCCACACACCCATAAAATACTAAAGAATTCAATTCCTGTGTTGGAACTACACATTAAAATTCCCAAGCTCTTGACTGGTTTCACCATAAAACTAGGCCTTACATTTTCCCACAGCTTTTCCCCAAACTGCATATATTTCCTTCAGTTGATGGCAAATAAATAAAAAAGTCAGGTTCTTTAATCAATATTACTCACTATTAAATACTACTCAACCAGTTTATTTAACCAATTCACTCTGTATTTCTATTTTTATATCACTGAGATATGAACTGCTATCTCTACTAAGTCTCTCACTTATTATTCATTGTTATTCTCATGTTTTCCCTCTTGCCATCATCAGTAGTTCTGTATTTCTTTCTGGAATTGGTGCTGTTAAATTTTAGGCCAATAATTTAAGAGTAATAATCTAAACATGTTTTTTTCATTCTAAGTAAAATTTGAAATCATACTTTCCTTTGCTTCTAGGTTCAATTTCCTCTTGACTGATTATTTTTTAGGCTTCAGCAATCTCAAGAGAAAGCATTCTGTGTTTTATGGTACAGTTATTATGCCTTTATAGCAACTTAGCTTACAAGAAACTACACATGTCTTATATATTGAGGTTGCTTTCATGAAGTGCAATATAAAAATGTCTTTCATTTTTCATTTATTAACTGAGCTGGTACAGTAGAAAAGCATAACAATTCCATCATATTCTAAAAATAGCATTACTGTGCCATTAAAAAAGAAGAAAAAAAAAAACAACTATGCCCTATTATCTAGGAGAAAATTATTCCTCTGACCGCCATTAAATAAAAAAAATAAATAATTTGATTTTAATTATGTGCAAAAGTCAGAAAGTACATGCCTCTCCTATATTTCCCAGTTGAACAATTCTTTAGTAGTATTTCTTTAAATAATGTTTAAATAGTGTTTCTTTCAGTAGCAATTTTAAAAATAATGTTTCTTAAGATTATAAAAAATTATTATGGTATGAAAATAAGTTAACAAACATTGGAACAATAACAAGAAATTATCTGAATTTTATTATCCCTGAAGCAGGTAAATCTTGCTACCTATAATTAGAACGGTGGTCAACATTTAGCAAGAAAAATAGGGGGAAATGGAATAATGTTACTGGGATATAGAGTTTGGTTTTCCTGGTGACTTTTTCCTTTTGGTCCTTAAAAGAGGCTAGCCATTTTCTGCCAAAATGAAAATAGGAAAATGAACATGACTGAATGTTTCTTCAGTGCCTGGTGTCTTGTTTTTCTAAACTCCAGTAATGCATATACGTTGGATTGTTAGGTTAGTAAAAGAGCCTGGTATCTCTCACTTTTAATTCTGCAGTGTGAGAAGTGGTCTCATTTTGCTTATATACCTCCTCAAATCAGACCACAGGAAAAAAGTTCACATAATCGAATATCTGATGAGAAAGATCTAGTTGATAGGGTTTTTACTGTACTTTCTTGTGAAATCCTGCAAAGGTAAACACAACAGTGATTAGGTGAAATTAAGTTTAAAAGTAAGTGAAAACTATCTCATCATCTTAGTTTACACTGATTTTTTTTTTCAGGTTTAAAAGAGAAGATCTGTCTATGACTTAGTCCTAGTCACTACTTTTATTGTTGTTAAATGCCTTTGCAGCAGTTGCCACTCATAGTGATCCTGTAAAGGTTCCCAAGGAGTAGCTAGTGAGTTTGGATTGCTGACCTTTCAATTAGCAGTTCACTGCTTATCATACAGTGTCACACCAGGGCTCATTATTAGTGGTGGTGGTGGTAGTTGTCTGCCACCACATCAGTTTCAACTCATAGAGACCCTCTATAGGGTTTCCCAAGACTGTAAATCGTTCCAGAACAGTAAGCCTCATCTTTCTCTCACGAAGGACTGGTAGATTCGAACCACTGGCCTTGCAGTTAGCCATGCAGCTTGTTATCCACTATACTACCAGGTCTCACACGGTGGTGGATTGTGTGCTGCTGTAATGCTGGAAGCTATGCTACCAGCAATAAGAATGCCAGCAGGGTCACCCATGGTAG